AGATCTACCATACATACCATTTCAAAAATAAGAAAATAACTTTGAAATTTCTAAAATCAGATATTTTAACACACACACACACACACACACACACAGTTATCCCTCCCACCTCCACCACCCCTATCGCTTCGGCGACTACTCAGATTTTGGCCACTATTCTGGTGATCGTTTCGGCGATTACTTCGATTCCGACTATTATTCTGGTCCGATTCCTGTGACTATTCTGGTGATCGTCACAGATTTATATAATATAGTCACAAATTCACAATTTAGTTAGTCACATATTATTTTTCGGTCACAAATCATAATTTTTTACGGCCACAGCTCAAAAATTTTATAGGTCACAATTTGTTTATCAGTCACGGATCAAAAATTTTGTATGTTACAAATTATTTCGAGGTCACATATAAAAAAATTTGTATGTGTCACAAATTTGTTCGAGGTCACAAATAAAAAATTTTATAGTTCACGGTTTATTTTATTGGTCATGTATTATCAAATTATTGGTCATAACTTATTTCTCGGTCACAAATCAAAAATTTTATAGGCCACGAATTCATTTTTCGATCACAACTTAATTAATTGTGAGTCACAGTTCGAATTTTAAGATCACAAATTATCCAATTTTAAGAGTCACATGTTACTGGTCACATGTCAACTAATGGGTCACATACCACCATCACCTCGAATATCTCCACCGCCACTTGCAACCACCCTCACATGGTGGCCAACGCCGTCACCACCACACCACCACTATCGATGCCGCCACCAACAACCACCTCCATCACCACCAGAAACCATAACCACCAAGCATGCCAACAACGAACAAACCACATCTTCAACTAAAAAACCATCATCGCCGCCACCTGCACCCCGACACGACAACCACCTACAATAAAAAATGATGACTGCCGCCGCCGTCGCCGCCTGCACCACACAACGACAACCACCAACAAACATCCCTACCCCACGTAGTCCCACCCACAACCACCGTCACTACCACCGCCACCTCCACAAAACACACCCAAAAATTCACATCAGATTTGGATTACAGATACATACTTCTGAATCACCACCAAAAGACCACAACTACCACACAAAACCACAAAAATAGGAGCAATCGTGCTCATGTGCAAGGCTCTGTGCAAACCCAGTGCAGCGATAGCGCCCATCGCTGAGGGAACACCTATGGCTATGCGAATACACTAGTGAATCTGGCTAACCTCGGCACGAACACCTACAACTCTCTATTTAGCGTCAATGTTCACAGTACCGCTGTAGGCACCGCCATTTTTTGTCGGTTGGAGCAGTACTCACAACGAAGATGGTGGAGTCGCTTGTTGTCTCGCTGCTGTGGGGGTCGATATTTTTCTCCAGAACACCGCTAGATGGAATCCCCTTCAGGAAGCCCTACTTGGCCGCTGCTCCATCAAGTCTCCTTCGTTTGAATCTCATCTATCCTCCGGTTCTCCGCTTCGTAAGCCACTACTATTCCGATATGAGCGTCGTTGTTCCAATCTGCGCCGGTGAGGGAGAAGTGAGAAACTGAGAAGGAGAGAAGTGAGAGACGGGGAGGGAGGAAATGAATTTAGGGTTTAATTTAATAGACATGAAATTAAAATATAATCTATATATATATATATAATTATAATCCGTATCTAATTAAAAATATATGATTTTTGAAAATTAACACTTGAAATCTGATTTTGAAATATAGATATTGAAAAATAAGGAATTGGATCATTTGCACAAAAAAATATTTCATTGCAAGTTAATCCACGAGATTGGGATGGCCTTCGGCACGTGATGTTCTAATCAATCCGAATTAGGGTTTTTTCTGAAACCCTAATCCATGTGCAGCCGCTCCTCTGCACCTATATAAACACACACTCGTCACTCATTCCTTACTTCAAAATCTATACCCCAGCCGTTCACGGATACAGCCTCCCTGCCCGGCGCCGCTCTTACGTATTGTGTATGGCTAGAGTATAGTCTTTTACACCTGCTTTTTGCAATTATAAAAAAATTCGTCTCTATGGAGCTTTAAACCTATCGTAACGTGAAGTTTCGACATGGATGTTCTCACTCTGTTTTATGCTACTATGATTTTTAGTATTTTTTATTTATAATTAATTTTAGAGATGGAAGTGATGAATTTTTCCCCAGATGATTCGAAGCTGAAATTACTGAGCGCCTTTTCTTCTCCTCTTACGGGGAGATTCAAGCCAATATTCTGATCCATCTTATATATATTTATATTTTTAAAACTATTCTTCTGGATTGATTTGGATTTACAGTTTGTCCTCAACCGAATGGGTGCTGGTCAGTGATATTCTGGTTAAAATTCCACTTATTCTGAGTCTTGAACAAAGCACCAGAACTAGTCTGGTATTCGATTCTAGCTACTTCAATTTTAAAATTTTTGGTATTTTTGTATTTCAATTAAAATAGTTATATATTTGTACAAATTAAAAAATATATTTTGGATAATTAACGTTTGCATGGACTTTGATTTTGGAAATTTATGCAAGAGAACTTTGCAGTTCTTTTCAAGTCTCAAAAAATCAATTACAATCAATCAGTTTTTGGTTCATTTTGAATCAGAAGAACCATTTTGGTAGATTAGACGTTTTATTTTTCATGGAAAATATTTCACCACTTTTAATATTTTTTAAAAATTCAAGAAAATATTTTGTTTGGTAATTCAATCTTTCTTATCTATTCCTCTCTTTCATATACCCATCAATAAAAAAAATTTTAAATAGAAAATTAAATAATCAAACATTTTTAATTAATAATTTTTATCAAAAAAGTTTTGAGTAATTGAATTATTTAAATTTTTTTTTTATTTTCATGTAAATTACATGTTTGTAATCGCACCAGAAAGAAAAAAACATTTTAGTGCCTTTTGGTGTAGTTTAAAAAATTAGTAAGAATTGTAAGTCAAAAATAATAATTAATTTTAATTATATATTTTATGGAATTTATATATTTTATCAAATTTTTAGATATTTGATTTTCTGGAAATGGATTTTGTGAGTGAAAATTGATTGCTGAATGAAAAGTGTTATGAGTCTAGTAAAAATTATTCTTTGCATAACTAAAAATTAATTTTAAAGAATTTTTATCACTTATGAGTTTAATAAAGGGAAAATTACTGTCATGGTAATAAATATTTTGAAAATTCGTGCTTGAAGTCTAAATGGATAGTTTTTATTATTTGAGCGTTAGTTTGAGGTAAAATGGTATCATTAAATTAAAATGAAACAAAAAAAGGTTTATATAAAAAAATGTGTAGTTCATTGTCTCCTTTTCATTCCAATCCAATCCAACCCAACCCAACCTAAGCCAACTCAAATTAACCCACCATCACAATTGCCACCGTTGTTGCCGTCTGTCGCCTCCACCACAAAGTCACAAACTCACCATCTTATTGTGAATTTCGTCACCCCAAATCATAAATTATTATCAAACTCATCAAGAAACCATTTTCTACCCTTTTCACCACTTTTCTGCATTAGAAAAAAAACAGCATACATCTACAGAGCCTCCATAACTTCATCCTTTTCCGCCATCACTAAATAAACATGCAAAAACAACTGAAAAATCAGACCAAGTAAACTTGAAAAGGGGACTCATTGGAGAAACATATTAAAAGAGTGTGATTTACGTAGAAATGATGTGGAGATGGTGGGTTGGATTAAAGAATCATGCTAGAACATAATGATTGACATAATGTTACATGACAATCTATCATTTGATTGTTTAAAACACGTCAACTTTTTCAATCAATCATATCTTTCAACACTTATTTTGTCAACCATTATGTCATGGCAACATATTATTAGACTGTTTAAAACTTAGTCAACTTTTTCAACCAATCACATTTTGCCAATACTTATTTTGTCAACCATTATGTCACATTTTTCGGGCAAAGTAACATTATTCTGGATTAAAATGGAATGGAACAAATTCTGTGTAGCCAACCACCCTTTTAATCTCGATCTTCTCTCTCACTCACATGCTCGCTCGTGTATTGGAAGGAGGAAGAGAATAGCTTAACTTTACAATATGGCGAACAATTTCGTCACGGAACGATTGAGATGATGAAATTCATGATAAGACGGCGAGTTTTGGAGTCGTGGCGGCATGTGGCGAAGATGAAGGCAACTGCGGTGGTAGGTTAATTTGGGTTGGGTTGGGGTGATGATGATGCATTTTTTATTTTTTTAGGGAGTGGGGGTGTGGAAACTTTTTTTTTTTTAAATTTAATTCAAAATTATCATTTTATCCTCTTTAAATTTGTTAGAGTTAATTTTTTGAGTCTGCCAATTGTCAAATTAACAGAAATTATCCATTGGACTTCAAGTGCTAGTTTTTGAAATGTTTGGTGCTGTGACCATCACAAATTAAAAGTTTGGATCAACTTTGCAAAAAAGTGAAATGTTTGGTTCCGTAATTGTAATTTTCCCTTTAGTAATTTAAATATTTTAACTTTTAGTAATTTAAAATTTTAAAAAATTGTAAATATTTAAAAAGGCATTACAAAGCTTCTAAGTTAAAAATAATAATTAATTTTAATTATGAAATAACAGGTACCGTTCTAATACAACTTGATGGGAAAATATTTAGATTCACGTGCGAAATTAATCACAATAATAAGCAACAATTCACTTTTATTGTTTCTAGATGATTAATTAATTGATTCAGTTAAATCATATGTTTAAACAATCACAATAAACCAAAAGCAATAAATAAATATCAACATCAAATATGATCATAGAGGAAAACCCTTCCAACAGTATTAAAAACCTTTGGACACATTGTCAGTAAAATCCACTATAAACGATATGACTTATACTACGGTCAGACTTGACTAACTCTTAGCACTCTCTGACATCCTTCCCGAAATGACCAATTACTTCCTTGCATTGCGTGCTCTAGAATCTCTGGAGTCGTCTATTTCCTGTGGATAATCGAGACCGACCCGTTCTCTTCCCATCGGAACTCCGATCACCTTCCTGGATTTTCATATCTCTGATAGATACTTTGAAAGTGGGTTGTTTGGTGTTTAATCAACGATTTTATTTGTGTTTTGTTGATGCTCCCCTGATGTTGCTCGAGTGAAAGGTTGGCATTAGGTTAGCATCATCATCATTGTTTTGGGCTCTCGAGCATGATCTTGGCGTTGAGATAGCATCATTCTGGAAACTTAAATTCCTTGTTCTATACTCAAACTTTAGGACTCCTAAATGCTCTATACCACCAACCCCCATCTCTTTGACTTTATTTATAACTCAAATAACCTAGATTTTGTCTAAGGAATAACCAATTACAAATAAAAGACCTAACAAGTTATATATTTCATGAAACTCGCAATTTTCAATTATATAATTTATTAGATTTTACTAAAATTTCGTTTTTAGTCTCCATCAAACAAGGATAGGATGTACATTACTCTCATTGACATAACTTCTACATTTTAGCAATTTTTCTTAGAAAAACTAACTATGAACAGCCCATTTTTTATAATTAGTTAAAAAAGTTAATAATATGTATGTTAAAATTAGTAATTAATTAAACAACACGGTTTCATATTTTTATCAACTTATTGATAACGTATTTCAATTTTTTTTTTAATCAAAATTTATTAAGAACTTTATTTTTAGCAAAATCAAGAGCTTGTTTGGGAGAGATTTTTGGGGGAAGAATTGATTTTGAATTGTGATATGATGGGAAATGTGTGGTTGAAAAATAAGAAAAAGTTATTGATGTAATGGAAAATATTATTTTATTGAAGAATGTGTGGTTGAAAATGAGTAGAAGAATGAGAATGAAAAAAATAATGTGTACCAAACAGGGGCCTAATGATGAATTCAAATTTGCATTCATCGGAATTGGGTGATCTCAATTTTAATATTCGAAATCGATTTGA